TACCCTGCCTCTCTTGGGGAGACTCGTGCCCATGTTGTGTGAACAACTCTGCACGAGCACCTAAGGAGGCTTACCTCCCTAATAGCCCGTGGTGGCGCGTACGTATCTCTATTGAGATGTACGAAGTGATTGACAACTTGAAATCCCTTGACGACCGTGCCGGGAAGACTTTCTCCGGCGGTCCTTCTGCGGCACAGGATGTGCCGCGTCGTACTGCTCAACCAGACCCTGTACGTCGATCATCAGTTGGGAGCGGGGCTCCCAAGAATCCCAGGACGGGGGATAGCCGCGCCACCGGACGAGACAACTCGTCCGACGTCCGTTCACGTCGCGGTGGTTCAACAGCTGCTCAACTAGATAGCGCTGGCCACCGCGAGAGTCCTCTAATGGAGGTGGAGGAGGAGGAAAGACGCTCTCCACACGATCATGTGGATCGGTGTGTTCCCGAGAGCTTCTTTGATCGCGTAACGCAAGGGTTACGCGACGATCTCGAGCATGAGCGGAATAGGCGTCTCCAAATGGCGGACACTGCCTCAAAGCATCGAGCTGAGTTTGCCTTTGCTCAGCTTGAGAACGAGAGATCTCTGACATCTCTTCGTGACGAGCTAAGGGTAGCTCGTGGGATTGCTGATCGGTCTCGGGATGAGATAGTTGCTTTTCAGACCCTTGTTGATGCCCACCATCGGGAGCACAAGGCTCTCTGCGAGATGCTTGAGCGCAAGGGCGTTCTTCATCGGAAGAAGCAGCGTACTGATGGTACAGCTTAAGCCGACCAACGTAAAACGTGGGATGCGTTTGCATCTTACGTGGTAATTCGATCGTGTATGCATTGCCTAGGCGGTGCAATACACGAAAAGGGCCGATGTACTTGGGTAGTAGTTTACTGCTACCCAAGTTAGTCACTACATGCTTTGGTAGATTAACCGTAGACAGTAGGACTAAGTCACCTTTATTAAATAAAAGAGTGTTTGCCCTTCCATTCTTGTCAGCGTTTTGCTTTTGCTTATCCACCGCTTCGGCGATGGAGTCTTGCACAAAACGGACTACCGTTTCACGAGCCAGTATGAACTCATCTGATGACTCGTTAGCTTCAGTGTGCTGTGAGCGCACTGCAGCAACATCAACCTTTTCTTCAGTGAGGGCTTCCGCACTCTCACTGGGATCATCTTCTTCAGTGAGGGCTTCCGCACTCTCACTGGCATCATCTTCTTCGATATCGATGTTATCGATATCGGCATCAAACGCAATAATTTCTTCGTCAGAGCGTGATGAGCGTGAACCAATTCGGTTTTTGCTCGCGCGAGTCCCTCCCCCCCTTAAACCAGAGTTACACTCTAGTAAGGTGGGTACACGCGGATGGCGCAAGCCATTCACGTAAAACGGTGTATGTGTCGTGGACGCATGCACCGAGTTGTTGATGGCAAACTCTACCATTGGCAAAAACTCACTCCAACTCTTAAAGGAGTGTACGTATCCTCGAAGTATCTCTTCAAGGACACGATTGGCACGTTCCGTCTGACCATCTGACTCTGGATGATCAGATGTCGACATCTTCAAGCGCGTTTCGAGTGATTTGAACACGGAACGCCAGAAAGCAGCAGTGAATCGTGGATCTCTGTCTGATACGAGTTCACGGGGCAACCCGTAAAGTCGGAAGATGGTGTCAATAAAGACACAAGCACAGCCACTTGCCGTGATTGTCTCTGGTACAGCCACAAGGTGTACTATTTATCTGAATCTGTCAACAAATACGAGAATACCCGTATTCCCGCGTGCGTCTTTGGGTAACCCGAAGACGAAATCCATTGAGATGGATTCCCAGCACTCAGCCGGAACCGGTAGAGGCTGTAAAGGTGCACGCAGTGAAGGACTTGACTTCACTCGTTGGCAGACTTCGCATGCGCGAACATACTTTCGCACAAACTGATACTGGCGGGACCAGTAAAAGTCTCGACTTACCGTGAGATATGTTTTCTCTCGGCCACGATGTCCTCCTATAGGAGCATCGTGATACTCGAACATGATCCGCAAACGCAGATCGGTATCATCTGGAATGACAACACGTGGTGTGTCACCAGAAACGGCTGTATAATACAGTAACCCGTTGCGAGTAGTGTATCGATCTGATGCAGATCGATACGCAGACGACAATCGTTTCAACGATTCTCGAGATGGTTGGGAGAGATGTGTCAACAACTTCACTATCTCACCATCTTGGGCATATGCCCGCCTCACATCATCATACAACGTTGTAGATGGGACTGAGGACGTCATAACCGCAACAGTGACTGCCTCACTGTTGGGTTTCGCGACTGTTTCAAAGTCGGGACGACGTGAGAGTGCATCAGCGACGACATTAAGTCGTCCTGGTTTGTACTCGACCGTAAAGTTGTATTCCGCAAAGAATGACAACCACCGCGCCATTCGTTGTGAAAGGTGCGGGCTGTTCACTGCCGTGCGTAATGACGCATGGTCAGTGTAAACAACGAAGGGTCTATCTCCTAATAGATAGACTCTGAACTTCGCGAGTGCATACTTCATGGCAAGGAGTTCCTTGTCATGCACTGGATAGTTCCGCTCAGCTGGTTGCAGCTGACGCGACTGATAGCAGACGACGCGTTCAACGCCTTCAAGATCGTACTGCATTAATGCACAGCCGATTGCGAAATCGCTGGCATCACAGACCACATGAAATGGCCTGTCCTGATCGGCTATTGCTAGGACTGGGGATTGTATCAAGCTCTGCTTGATACCATCAAAGGAGCGCTGACATTCAGCGTTCCATAACCACCTCTCGTTCTTTTTCAACAAACGAGAGAGGTGCACAGTCATTTCGGCGTAATTGCGTGAATACTTATGCAAATACGCCGCTAGCCCAAGGAATTTTCGAAGACCTTTGACATCAACCGGCACGGGCCAGTCGGTGATCGCCTTGATCTTTTCGGGATCAGGACGTACACCGTTCTTACCAACGATGCACCCAAGAAGTGGTATTTCGCTTGCGGCAAATATACACTTCTTGAGGTTTGCATACAATTGATGCTTTCGCATGATTGTAAGAACCTGTCGGACGTGGTACCTGTGAACCTCAACGTCCGACTTTCCATCCATAGCTCGACTATGGATGAATACGTCATCGAAATAGCTCGGCGCGAATTCTCGTACTGGTCTCAACAGATGTGATACACATCTGTTGAACGTGGCAGGGGCATTACTGAGCCCTTGTGGCATTACTAGCCATTCCCAGAGCATGCCGCTAGGCGTGCTAACTGCGGTATAGGGTATATCCCGTTCCCGCATAAGGATTTGATAGAAGCCATCCATCAAATCCATGGACGAAAAGATGGTACTCTTTGACATACCATCAATGATTACGTCCTTCCTCGGTATCGGCGTCTGAGCCGGTACCGTTGCAGCGTTCAATTTGTTGAACGCGTGCACTATCCGCCACCCTCCTGTTGCTTTTCGCACACAGAAGGTCGGAGAGCTATGTGGGGAAGTTGATTCCCTCACATGGCCCGCAGCTAAACGATCGGCAAAGAGCTTGTCGATCGCAAGTACTTGTTCACGAGGCAGGGGCCACTGCTTCATGACACAGTACTTCGAGCCTGGTTTAAGCTCGACCTCGTGTCGAATACCTTTATCCTTCGGTAATTCGCACGGAACAGTTTCAGGGAATACATCCTTGAATTCAACCAAATCTTCACAGAGAGGATTTTTCTTGAGCGATTCCCATGATTGGGAGTCATATCGCTCAATTCGTGTCTTTTCATCTAGGACACTCTCGTCCATAGATGAACTACTGAGAACTCTCTCGTTCTCAGTAAACACTGTTGCTGACCTTATGTCGGTTACACACTCGTCGTCAGCGACGAGTATGCAGATCTGCTTGACTTTGCCACTACGCAGATCACGCAAGAACCTTTTATGTTCGAGCGTTGGCAACTGAGTGATCTCCGAAGTTAAGTTCGGAGGCGCAATCAGATCAAGTGTATAAGCGCCTACACTTGATCCGTTATTGACTATGACATTCAATGTCTCTGTCATTTCCTGGGGACTTATTCCCTCAGGCTTCGAAGGACTTATTCCTTCGTCTTCCCGGGGACTTATTCCCGCGGGTTTCGGGGAACTTATTTCCGCCGTATTTGTAATCTTGGGACTTATTCCCTTTACTTCCTCTAGCTGGGGTTGCGCAACCACAGCGAGATCCTCTACGAAAGACTCTCCAGTCGATCTAGGATTATCGTTTCGCTTAACCTGAGCGATCGATTGTTTCTCTTCTAGATGTTCCCCGCTAGGGATACATCTTTGTCCCAGTCCACCCGACTTATTCGAGTGGTGGACCTTCGGCGCAGCCTGTGTTTCCTCACAGCCGCCGGAACTTTGCTCCGAAGTGTAACCGTTTGGTACACTAAGGTTTTGTGCAGTCGTACTAACGACCGTACCACAAGTGAGGCCATCGCACTCACTCGTAGTACATCCACACGCTTGTGGACGCTCCAAAACGTTCATCAGATGGCCATCTGATGAACAAGCGGCAGGCATCGTTACTGTCCGATGTTGCCAGTTTACCCGTGGTTCGTACCTTCTGAGCCACGGTATTCCAAGGATGACATCAAATTTGTCATCCAAATCCAATACGATAAAGTCATCGTCATATTGGGTATCTTCTAGCGTATAGTGGATCTTCACTATACGCTTCATGACGGTTACGGATGCGCCTGTCGCAAGACGTACCGTCATCCTCGTAGGAGGTGTGTCACATTCACTGAACTTAAAGTGACCATCTTCTAGCGATTGGCGTCGCACAAAATTGTTGGACGCCCCACAATCGACTAGAGCTCGAAGGGACAACTTATTCGTCACTTCGAGTTTCAAGGTAATGAGTGAGACCTCATTACCTAGAGCAGCAACGCACAACGTCTGTGTGTTGGGAGCAACCTTCATCAAGAGGCCTACAAATTCTCTTGACGTTGCTGGATCAGTAGGGTGCTCCGCACCTACTGATCCTGTCCGTTTTTTGACGGTCCATCCCGTTGTTGCGTCTTTGCACCAACTGCGGACCCTCGTCCCTGCCCCTTTCTCATGGGTGGACGGTCACTACGCCCAGTGTCGCGAGACACTGGACGAGGGGCACTACACTCGTAAGCGTAGTGTCCTGTCTTTTGACATCTGTTGCATCTCTGCAACCTCTTGTAGCCTGTAGAGCGAGCCTTCTCGCTCTCTACATAACAGAGTTCCATCGGCTCTGGACCTCCGTTGTCGTATCGTCTCGGTTGACGATATGATGTCGAGCTGGCGCGAGCCTGTCTCAGACTGAAGTCTTCCTGCTCCGCAATGGAAATGGCTTGTTCTAGTGAATCTAGTTCAAGCCGGAACAGGTGAGTCTTGACGGGACCATCCGCAAGACCCTGCATGAACACCGAAACCAACGTGTGTTCATCCACCGGATTGGAACTTACACAACTCGTGAGATGTCGTATATGTTGAGCGTAAGCGTGTACATCACGCTTACCCTGCTTGAGCTTCAAGAGTTCGGTTCGAGCTCTGAACTCAGCTCTAGGAGGTTCAAACGTTTGTCTGAGCCGCGACTTGAAGACTTCCAACGACCCAAACGCATATGGGTCGTGCAACTTGAGCCCCAGTGCCCAAGTCTTGGCACGTCCTGCCAGATTTGACTGGGCAAATGCAACTTGCATATCCCCGTCGTCGATGCGACGCGCTCTTATGGCGTCATCCAATTCGACGAACCATCTCAAGAGGGAGTCTTCTTCGACCCCCTATACTTGGAGATGTCAATCTTCAAGGTTTCGGGTCGACGCGAGTGCATCGACCCACCAGCAGCAGCCTGCTGCTGTCTCAACAGTTCAAACTGTTGAGCACCCTGTTCTCTCAACAACTCTGCTTGTTGAGAACCTTGTTGGTGAAGCAAGGCTACTTTCTCGCGTTCAGCGTCAAGTTCATTTTGAATGAACTTGGCGATAGTAGCATGTTGGGCATCTCTATTGAGAGCCTCTAGCATGACGCTAACAGCATGGATGCCCATGGTCGAACCCATTCGTTCAACCGCATCCCATTCGACATCGCTCAAATGGGAGTAGCCGTCACGCGTAGCGTGAAAGCTTTGGTCATCTTCATCATCCAACATATTCATGTTGGATGTGAACGTGGTCCTTGGACGGACTACGAAGTGCTACCAGGTGTAACGGGGCACCCTGAAGCTTGTACTGGTGACAGTACAAGCTACTTATTCTGATGACAGAATAAGGCGGTGCCTCGTAACTTCACGTACACTCGTACGTACAGAGGAAGACGGTAAGAAGAAGCGAGTACTTGGTTAAAGTAAAAAGTAGAACTGTATTTATAATAGTTAATGTCTGCAATAAATCACTATTTATCTTCATCTAACTATGTCTAAATACAAATGTGTAAATCAAATATCTGCTCACCACTCATTGCGTGCGTCTGTCGTGGCGCGTCTTCGTTGGTTGATATAATGGCCTATATCAACCAATTAGGAACTACTCGTAAGTGCTACAGAATATTTGTCCTTATGACAATATTCTGAGAATATAACTCTTATAGTTATATTCTATTAACAATTTCTTATAAATTTTTATGTAACGATTCACCCCGTTACACAGTATGTATGTCTGCGTGGTGCTGCCAGTGTAGCCGCATGGTCTTCGACCTCCTGTACAGCCGCTGCCGCCGCGTTTCACATGCCGACAGCATCGTCTGACGGGTTATGTAACGGGGCACCCTTTGTTTGGGTGCCACGAAACTTTGCGTACCATCGTTGGTGCAGAGGAAGCTAATCTACTCAACAGCTATGTTAAGTAAAGGGTAAAAAGAGAACTGTATTCAATATAGTTAAGCTATCAATATAGCTTCAGTCTTTATCTAATATGTTAATCTACATTGTCGTATGACGAAAACCTGCTCACCACTCATTACGCGCGTCTAGCAGCAATCTTAACTTGAAATGTTTATTATCAGCCAATCTTCGAGCAGCGCATGAATATAATTTAAAAGGGGATTATGCTCCTTCAATATAACCTTTTTCGAGTAATATTGGCAGGGGATTGTCACGCTAGGCAATCTCCCTATTGACACCGTTTGGTGTCAATATCATGTAACGGTCTACCCCGTTACATAACCCCCTCTTAACCAACAACTACGTTGACGGTTGAATTTAATTGATGTGGAACAGGATGATCACCGTTGGATCACTCTGAGAAGGAAAGCACTTATTGGTCAGATTCCAATTTATTTGACAATCTATCGCATGGTGTCAAATTCCATGCGGTGCGCTGCCGAAGCAGCCAGGGAGGCTTTTACAAGCATGCGTGCATCCAAAGTGAGTATTTTTAATCCTCAGCGACAAATGGCCATTTGCGTGCAATGCAAATGAGCAATAGATAGTGCCTGTTGCGACTAGTCCGCGTGGTGAGTTACCACGTGCGACAGAAACATCGGCTGCGTCTGCAGCGGGTGCTGCGATTCGCAATGTGGATGAGCCTGGAATCGAGGTCATCTATTCTGGCTAGTCGGATGATGTATCCGACTCGAAGGCGGCGCCTCCCGCCTCCGGATCGCCCGGGGCCGACACTGCTAGAGCCAGGTTTACTGGCTCTGGGGAACAAGGCAGCATCATAACTGAGATCTTCGGACTAAGCGATTCTTCTGACCTATCCTCGTCTCACGCAAGTCTATCCGACAATAGGACGCATGGTGATGGTGCTGAAGCCCCTGTGTATCACAACGAGAAAGTAACTCGAGAGATCGAGCTGCTACTGGTGTCAGTGCTCAAGCTGGCTCCACACGAGAGGACAGGGACCTCACTGTCCTGCGCCGTGATCCTCAAGTGGAGTCTCCTTGGATGCCATCATCCAGAAAGTTGGATCGAGTAGGCAACATGACCACCGAACGGGATTGAATTCCTTTGTTCGACTGTAGGAGGATCTGTCCTCCTGATTCCAGCACGGAAACTATTCGTGCTGAGGGTGAGTTCTACAACGTTGCGTTTTTCAAACATCGGTGGTGCAATGGCAGCCGTGTTCGAGACGGCAAAGCCTTGGTGCAAGGATGAAATGCCCTAATCGATAACATCGAGTGCATTGGTCGTGAGGCCTGGCTCGCCAAACTTGATGCAGCTTGCATCAGGTTTGAAAAATTAACTCAGTCGATGTACAATACAAGCTGCACCGACTGTCAAGAGAGGCAGGATTACCCTGTTTCTCATGGGGCGACCCGTGGCCAAGTTGCCTGGACAGCTCAAATCGTGCCCTTAGGGAGACTTACCTTTTTATCGCTTCCTACCGGACGGCGCGCATCTCTTCTGAGATGGCCGAAAAGATTGCACCTTGCAATCCTTGTACTTGCGTTGGGGTAGGTCGTTTTTTTCCGACGACCGTTCTTAGAACGCAACGGGTGGGTCTCTTCATATTGCTCGACGAGACTCAGGACATCAACAATCAGCTGGGCACGAGGCTCCAACTGTCCCAGACCGGAGAGTAGCCACGGCAGCGGACGAGGTAACTCGTCCGGAAGTCATTCACGTTGCGGTGGTTCAAAATACGCTCCACCGGAAATTGTTGACCACCGCCAGAATTCACCAAGGATGTGGTGGTGGTGGGAACATCTGATCCGGCTCAAGGGTCGAATCAGCTTGATGTTCAGGAACTGAACCGTGCAACGGAACAGTTGCAAGATGACCTGGATCATGAACGGACTCGGCATTATGAGCCTCATGACATTGTAAAGGAAAATCATAAATTTAATAGCGCACGGTCGTTCGGACGATCGTGCCGTGTTTTGCGTTTGTGCAACTTTAAAATGAACGTTAGATTCGTTCTCTTCGTGACGAGCTGACTGCAGCTCGTCGAGACATCGCTCAACTGCGTGAGCAGGTCATTTCCCTAGTCGACCAGACTGGCTCGTTGAAGCGAGACCACTCGAAGGTAGTCTCGGCTCTCGACCGCGGAGGTGTTCTTCGCATCTTGAAACGGGCTTGTACTGATAGTACGGGTGGAGACGTCCAACCTAAAACGTAGGATGCGTACGCATCTTACGGGCAGCTCAATCGTGTATGCGTTGCCCATTCGGCGCAACACACGAAATGGACCGATGTACCTGGGCGGTAATTTACTGCTGCCCACGTTTGTCACTGCGTGTTTCAGTAGATTAACTGTAGACAGTAAAACTAGGTCTCCTTCATCAAATGAGAGAACATTTGTTCTTCGATGTTTGCATGCGTTTCTCTTTTGTCTGTCTAGTGTATCAATATCTGCAATAGAGTCTTCGCGAGTCAGCAGAAATTTCTATCTGCATTAGAGTCTTCGCGAGTCAGCAGAAATTCCTCTGCTGATTCATCCTTATCAACAGCAGTGCGCTTCGTGTGCACTGATGCAAGATTGTTGGTTTCACCAGTGAAAGCGTCACCGTCCTCACTGTAGCAGTCATTGGTGATGCTGAATATACCAGCATCGTCGTCATCATTATCGACATCGATCGCATGGCATCCACCACGTCGACACCATTGTCGACGAGTGATGAGCAAGTACCAGATCGGTTTTTGTTCTAGCGAGTCCCCCTCCCTTAAACTAGAGTCACACTCTAAGGAGGCGGGTAAACGAGGATGGCGTAGGCCGTTCACGAAGAACGGTGTATGCGTTGCCGACACATGCACCGAGTTGTTGATGGCGAATTCCGCCATCGGCAAGAACTCACTCCAACTCGTAAACAAGTGGACATACCCTCGAAGTATCTCTTCGAGAACGCGGTTGACGCGTTTTGTCTGACCATCTGTTTCGGGATGGTCAGAAGTCGACATCTTTAAACGTCTTCCAAGTGAACGGAACACGGATTGCCAGAACTACGCTGTGAAGCGGGGGGCCTATCAGACACGAGTTCACGGGGTAATTCGTGAAGTTGGAAGATAGTATTGATGAAGACACGAGCACAGCCCTGGGCTGTGATCGACACCGGTACAGCAACAAGATGTACTATCTTGCTGAACTGATCAACAAACACAAGAATACCAGTATTCTTGTGAACGTCTTTGGAAACTCGAAGACGAAGTCCATCGATACGGACTGTTAAAAATCTGCCAGAATAGGTAGAGGCTGTAAGGGTGCACGGGATGCAGGACTAGGCTTCACCCGTTGACAATCTTCGCAAGCGCAAATGCATTTGCGCACAAACTCGTACTAGCAGGGCCAGTAAAAGTCACGAATCATCGTGAGGTAATTCTTTTCTCTACCGCGATGCCCACTTGTTGGGGCATCGTGACACTTATACATGATGCGCAATCTCAAATCATTGAGATCGGGAACGACGACACGAGGTGTTTCGCCGTTGACTGCTGTATAGTACAGCAGTCCACTCACGGACAGAATACCGTTCGGTTGAAGAGCGGCATTGAGACGACAAGCTTTTCAAAGCTTGACTGCATGGATTGGATACATAATCCATCAACCTCAGAAAAGGATCATCTTCTGTGTATGCTTTTCGCACGTCATCGAGCAGATTCGACGACGGAACAATCACTGTTCGTGTCGCGAAAGTGGGATCACCCCTACTGTTGTGTTGAGCAGTCGGCTCGAAATCGGGCCGACGCGAAAGAGCATCAGCGACGACATTAAGTCGTACTGCTTTATACTCGACGGATAAGTTGTACTCCGCGAAGAAAGACAGCCACATCGCCATTCGTTGCGAGAGGTGTGGACTGTTCACAGCCGTGCGTAATGACACATGATTGGTATAGACGATGAAGGGCCTATCTCCTAACAGAGATACCCGAAACTTAGCCAGTGCATAGTTTTATGGCAAGGAGTTCCTTGTCATGCACTGGGTAATTACGCTCGGCTGCTTGTAGCCAACGCGATTGGTATCCGACGACGCGCTCGACGCCGTCTGAGTCATACTACTAACGCGCAGCCGATTAAAAAATCGCTGGCGTCACAGACCATGTGGAATGGTCTGTCTCGGTCTGCAATCGCCAACATAGGCGATTGTAATAAGCTTTTTTTAATACCTTCGAAGTTGTGCTGACACTAAGAACTCCATGACCACCTCTCGTTTCTCTTTAACAGACGAGAGAGATGAACGGTCATCTCTGCGTAGTTGCGCGAGTACTTGTGCAAGTACGCC